TATAATGCATGTGAGTAACTTTCAAAAATTTCGCGACCCATTCACGACCCTGGGGCGCCCCCCCCCCCTTCCCGGTACGGCACTGCCTATCGAAGGTTTATCACTCCTCTCTTGAAATGGAGCGCACAACTACAAATACTAGATTGGCAAATTTTCTTGGTATAATTGAAACCCATAACAATGACGTAAACTAGCCTTTACAACAAAACGGACAGTTACAATTTCGAGGCAGTTAGGTATCCACGTTGCTTTCAAATATACCAAGATATATACTCATCAATACATTTACGTCAGAAGTAAATGAATGCGTGCAGGTCTTTCACAGTAACTAGCGGGGCCGAGCCGATAACCAAGTCAGTCTCCTAAAGCTTTGCATGGGACATCTTGTATCCGATTTAGACTAGATAGAACCACAAATAAAATTATTCATTCAGCTGACATCAAGTTATACAAACAAAACATAAATTTTGGCTATGAAAATATAAACCCGAATAAATGGCAAGTGGACTGCGTGAAAAGATAACAAATACAATAAGCAAAAAACTGAGAAAATTGGAGCAACAGAAAGGAGCAAGGTCTAGGCGATTAAGTAGAAAATAGTCAATAGATGCGCAAATATTGAGAGATTAATCCGAGCCGAGATTTGTCGCCCAGCTAAGCGGTACCCATGTCGGCTTTGTTTCCAGATCATGTATGAGGCGTATTAGTTGTGCAGTGCTCTCTTCGAGATCGTTATTGATAATGATAGCATCAAATATATGACCGTATCTAAAAGCAAAGTAAAAATAAAAGGATAATTGAAAAAACAATAACATACTGCTTGTAAAGTGTAGCTCCGCCACTGATGATTTGCTCGATTTCCGTTTCCGAAAACGTCCTCGTCACAGCAGTTTTACCGGACTGTCGTGGAAGTGATGAAGTGACTACTCGTGTGTTCTGAAATCGTGTAGATCAAAAGTGTAAATTTTGTTAGGTCAGAACCCCCCCCCCCCCCGAGTGGTTTTTATCTCCACAAAATATAACAATTTATTTCATAGGGTGAGACGAGCCTGAATAACTGGGCTTCTATGGTAACTGTTTGGACCTCTGAGCAAATCACTGCCTATGCAACAGCTCGAATGATTCTTTCGTGGCTCAAAAAATATCTGTGAACTCTTGCCCAGTACCGTACTCGAGCATCCGCTTCGCTTGAAACGAGTACGGTCTGGGCGGGAGTTTAAAATTGAATTTTCTAGCTACGAATGTATCATATGAGCCCGCTTTGGAAATAGCTAGGTTAGGGAAGCCCAGTCAAGTTCCACATAGGAAGTTCACGTAATCCTATGAACGTTGGCCTTTGACACTAAAAAAA